TTTTTATTAAATATATATATAAATGAAAATCGTAATTATCAACGCACTTCATCCGACACCGCGTGACAAATCAGTTTGATACATCAAAAAAAAAATCTATAAAAATTGACAGCCGTGACAATATTTTGACAAAATTATTTCGTAATTTGCTTTTTTTTGTTTGTTTCCATTCAAAAAAGTTTATTTTTCAACAAAATCTTATGTCATGAATAACTTTTTAATTCAGCCATTTTGATAATAAATCGTTAATTCTAGAATATTCTGTTGTTTTCTGGTTTGTGATATAGTTCTAAGTTAAATTTAGATATAAAATATTTTCTATGTTTTCTAATTATTCAAGTTACTTCATTATAAGACTTTTTATTATTCATTTATTTTTTACAATTATCATCTTATTTTTACTATAAATTATTACCGTCCTCTAACTTATTTTTATAAGAAATATACTTTTAAGTGCTTTTTAATTTTGTTCAAAGAAAATAAATTATTAATTAACTAAAATAAATATTCTTTAGTTTGATATCAGAACGCGAGGTAAAATAAAATTTGTAACCTGGACATTATTAAGTAGTCAACTGTACAGTGTACCTTAGCTCGAGTTTCCAGCGTCACACTACATACGGAGCGTTAAAAGTATTGACTAATAAATCTCACGTTATAGCAGTCACATAGTAGAATGAGAAACTCAAAACGCTTGGTATGTTAGTCACGAAACAAATTTGTTACTTGTACTAAGCATACTAAAAACAAGTGCGAATGCAAGGAAGTAATATAAAATGACAACAATATACGCACAGCAAGTTAATTTTAACTAAGATACAATAAGATGCAAAATATAGAATATTATTCAATTGCAACATTTAACCTTCCAGTGAACGCAAGGTCGAAAATACCGCGAATACTCATACTTGAAATATGTTGAGAGTAACCTGTCTTAGACATAGAAAATGAAAATTTAAATTTAGAACAAATTAGGTATATTTAAATTTAGAATATAAAAATAGCAATGCGATTGGTCGATATTTATATAGCAGTAAGTTCACGTCGCTTAGCTTTTTTTTTTAATTTATTATAACCAGTGACATTGACAATAATTTTTATACCCTAAAACATAACAACGAAGGCATTGTTAAACGTTTAGAATTTATAATTTAGTTAGATAATAATTAAAAATCATCCATTATTAGATGAAACGGCCTCGCAATAATTGTTTGCAAATAAAACGCTTAAAAAACTATAAATAGAGGGAAAAGATTGTTATAGAAGAATATAATGCCTGGTGACGTATGTATATCATAACTATCCAGCCTTCAGCATCAGCCTTGCTATTGTCAGCTAATTATATAAAATTCTGTTTGTAGTTTGTACGTACCTCTAACACATCACAGGCAAATATGTTAATAAGTCTTAGCTATCGTAACAACCTTGTCTCTATTATAATTTTAAGTGATATTATATTTTGAGAACGGTTTAAGTCTTAACCCTGTTTTTTATAACCAAATGTAATTGTTACGTTCTTTTTGTAATATTTCGATGTTAACTAATTTGCCGTTATGTCATGAATATGAATATATAATATGAATATAGTAATAGTACATTTTTTATAAATTAATATAATCATTTACATTTTTATTTAAATGTTTCAGTAATATTATAAATTAATATATATTTAAAGCTTAATTTGAATGTACATTTTTTATTTGAACTTAAATAATGTAATTCTTGAAATCATGTTTTTTTTATGATGCTATGATATGTAATGATAAGTGGAAAAAATTGTAAGCAAGTTACTGATTATTACAGATTAAAATTTATATCACAATAGTAAATTAAACAAAAACAATAAATAATATGCATAATAAAACATATATTTTTAAATAAATTTCTACGGCATGTAAATTTTCTTATTGTTATCTGTTGAAGACGTTTTTTTTTTAATATTTAAAATACCCCAAACCCTATAATTTTGTCGGAGACATGATGACGTCACTTCCTACATTTCAGTCACAATTGAAATCAAAACATCATTAAAAACAAGAATATTAAATGTCGATACATAACTGTATTTACAGTGATGTTTGTAAACAATATGGCGGAGCAGCAAGCAAATGTATTGCTTGATACACGACCACCTCCTGATCCGATAATGGTATCGTATTAAGAATAACAACTGCAAACACACAATGAACGATTGTGAAAAAAAACTTTGACATACAAATATCACTTAAAGATTTATAGCAGTTGTTAGAATAAAGTGCTTTTATTCTTTACATTATGCGTAATTTTGTTTAATCTGTAAATGTTTCCCGCTATTGTCAAGACAGTACTGTAAAGTTTAATTTCAGAATTAATTTTAAATTTCGAATTTATATCCACAAAAGTCAAGTTAAAACCTATTTTCTGTCGTCGATGAGACATATGTAAATGAGCTAATTTGATTGCAAGGAGGGATGCTAGACGAATAAATTAAAAAAAAAACTGAGTTCGCCTTTGTCATATATTTCGTATTAGTTAAAATATTGTTATTCTCGTACATAATCAAAATTGGTAAAGGAAATATTGAAGATTTTTGTACGTTAAAAAAAAATGATTTCTGAATATAAACTTATTACCGTCGCTTTTAGATAGACGATGTAAATTGTTTTATTGTCACTATTTGTATTGATATATTCGCAGAAATGGCTAATTAATGACAACCGTACGGCTTACGGTTTCTAACAATTGTTAATTATCATTTCGCGGTATCTTTTCGGTAAAAAATTATAAATTAAATTATTGTTTATTTTGCTATAGTGTAATGATTAAATCCCTTCCTAGAGTTGGCGATGTTCACCGCATTTATATTTATATATTTATCAGCTCCTTTACGTGTTTCTACTGTACAGTATGAAATTACTGTGTAAAGTTATATCCAATTTTTATAATACGAGGTTAATGATAATGTGTTGTTTTTATCATATCAATTTCGCAACAGATCCTAAACTTTAAATTCAAATGAAAATCTCCATAATATAGTTCATATTAAAATATTTTCACATTCATCTAGACTGTCTAGATAAGTAAAATCTTTGCTTCAGTATGAATATTAAAAAAAAAAAATACAATTGTAAAACAAACATTTCGAAATTCGAACGACTCACCTATCTCATTTAATCACTTGAAAAATCCATAACTCATACACTGAACATGACAAATTTTACACGGAATTTCTTTAAAACAATGAAATTTCTATATTTATCGTTCATACATTAACGTGGTATACGTGCTGCCGACGCGGTGCTAGCTGACGTTCTAAGACTGAAGACAACGAAAGGCTCGTTCCGTGTTTAAGAATCAAGTTATTAACACTAACTTGATCAACTAAACGGATTTAACGAATACATCTTCCCATATAAATGCTATAGACATATTTTTCAGTATATTTATAACTGTATTTTAGTTGCCATATATTACGGACGGTAACAGAACATACATAAATGTATCAATGAATTAGAATTTCCAATTATGTCAGATTCTATTAAGATAGAGTACTGTTATATACATTGTATAATCTAGTAGGACTTAACATAGATACAAAGGAAACACCATAAAACCGGTTGCAGTTACTTATAAATCGTGGTTAGTAGACAGGTAAACTAACTTATATATAAATATATACATATTTTTTTAATTAATTTAATAGTAAACATCGATGATCCGAAATATACAGCCAATTTGATACAAATTATAATCTATATCTCGTTCTAAAAATGTGAATAATTATCTGTGTTATAACAATTAATACAATAAGTCTACTTAACTGTTTTATGTTAGTTATAATAATATGTAATGTTTACATTTAAATGTAATAAGTACATTTGTATAGAAGGTTACAATAGTGACACCAGATTTTGTTATAAAATCGACTCTGCAATAATTACACAATACAATATAGTGACATCGTATGGTTTATGCAACAAATGTTGAAGATAAGTGTTGACTCGTTTTACATTATGCTAACTCATTAATGACGTATATATATGAAATAAATTAAATTTGAGATTGTAAACAAAAAAGTATTTATATTGCTATAGCAACAATAATTTGAATATGGAACGTACAAAAACTACGAAGAGATTCATTAAAATTTAAATCACATTACATTCGTGTCATGCCTCTGAGATTGATTTCCGCAGTTTCTTTTTTCACATTTTCCAACCTGTTGTTCGTAAAAGAACCTACATGACGTCATTTACGACTCATTTCCTACAACATTCCACGTTTGAAATTCTATGATGTATATTGAAGCTATTTCTCTTCATGTTTTTACATAATTAATTTTGATATTCGTTATTTATTACTTACATATTTTATAATATCAGAAAGGAAAGTTATCTACCTCTGACTGATTCACTCAAGCTTGACTTTATTTTATATCAATTAGATTCCTACGGACTCTTTTATAAACAAAACAGACCAAGTACCGACACTCGTTTAAATATGTAAAATTAAAATTAGCATAGAGGTAAAATAAAACTTAAAAATTGCAGATATAAATTACTATTCTACGTAAGCTATAAATATATTTTCTTATAGTTGTACCTATATAAATTATATCAAATTCATTATTTAAATTAAAATATTGCAGTTAATTTATACATAATAAATTTTAACGGTATAAAATGTTTTTAATTAAAATTAAATAATATATTTAAATAAATGAATATCAATAATAATTTATTGGAATGTTTATATCATGATTATATACCTCCTATTATTGAAAATATGTATAAAATCAAAATTCATTCAATCAGCTACTACATAGTTACGTGAAAATCGTAGAAAAATGCAAGGCCGTGTTCAATTATAAGTAAAGAAAGGTCTTGATAGTAAAATTATTCAACAGAGCATATTTTACAAATGGCGGCTACATAATAACATTTTACCTCTATAGATGGCTGTCAATCACGCGTCAATCACGTGCCGCCTCCACACTACATTTAGTTGTGTACCGAACAGCGATGGAGACGCACGTATCGACTACGCCATATATAGAAACGAATCAAAGCAAAATTGAATTGGAGAAAGAATTTATATACGCATGGAAGTCATACCCGGCTCTGTGGGACCCTAGAAATCAATACTACACTAATAAATATAAGAGATTGGAATATCTGAAGAAGCTTCTGGAAGTATACAAGAAAATCAAACCGGGCGCAACGACGGATGACGTGCGGAAGAAGATTAACATATTTAGAAGCAATTATAAAAGAGAATTGAATAAAATAGAAGAATCTAGAAAACGCGGCTGTAGCGACGTGGTGTACTCGCCGAGGGTGTGGTTTTTTCCATTATTGAATTTCTTGATAGAAACCAAACACTCCATGAAATTGGTAAGAGTTGTTTTGTATTTAATAAATGATTATTTTTCCTAAAACGTTTACAATTACAGTTGATTGTAAGAAAGATTTTTATAATATTTTTTAAATGGTTTTATAAAATTAAATTAAGCTTATCATTCTAGCCACAAAACTCATTCGATTCTGAAGAAGAAGTGCGTGCATCGAGAGAGTTTGAAGATTTCAACGGTACGACAGAAGAAACTAAGACGAACATAACAAATGTAAACGAAAAAAGTAAAATAAAAGAAGAAATATTCGAAGGACACGTCTGCGAGAGCTACGAAAGCATTTCAAAAAGAAGAAGATGTGAAAATCAAGACGTACAAAGCAGTACTTCAGATGCTTGGCCGATGCACGTATATAAATACAATCCCCTAGCCGTAATCTGGTCTGAGAAATTAGAGAGATTGTGTCCTATACAGAAATTATACGCCGAGAAAGCCATAAACGACATCTTGTTCGAAGCCGAACTTGGCAATCTTAACAAGTACTCGGTTCTTATAAATCCACCGACATGTTCTAAACCGCTGACGTAATAAATTTAACAGCTGTAACGTAATTCACAATCGATCAATCAAGCCGTCAATCAATCAATCAACCAGTCAGGCAATCAATCAAGAGTTAAATAACATGACGCAAGCGACCGTTCCGACAGCTTCCATTATTAAAATAGATCACACTGAAGACATTCAAACATTTCATTTAATACTAGTTTTCGCCCGCTTCGTCGCTTATAACAGAATGACGTAACATAACTTATTTTGAATTTTTTTTTGGTTGCTATTTATATAATATTATAGTCAGTATTTATATATTATAGTCAGTGGTTACCCAAAGAATAATGTTTTTATTTTAATAATTACGAAAATATAAAAAACATCCTCTATTACATTTTCTCCATTACCCCTGGGCCCTGTCGTGAACTCACTATGTATGTTAAGATAACTATCTTTATCTTAAAAAAATCAATTAAAAAATATTAATTTACTTACTCTGTAAATACTATCCTTTAAAATATGCCCCGTGGCGTCGTCTGTAAAGGAGTAGAGATATGGTTTTCATTTTTTATTATTTTTTGCGACATCTAGCGGAAGAAATATGAAACTCTATACAACTTTGGTACTCACCTTATCTATGGAATAGTTAGAGGTATTTGTGAAATAGTCTCCAAAAATAAGCGTACGATGGGGGCACATGTACAATATGTACCCTTATACAATTGAAACAGATTGTTCAATGAAATTATCGCATACTCTTGGACATAAACTTAGTTTCTCTACGAAACATGAGTGTGCCCGTGCAATTGAACACGTGAGTTTAGTCAATATAGCAGCTTTTATAGCTTTTTTACTACTTCAACAATATTGACTTAAACAATAAATGGCCATTGACAACTCCTTATTCGTATCAAATCCTCGTAGGCTTTGTATTACTAATACACACATATGATATAATAATAAAAATCTTTATTGATTCTGTTATTTGTGTTTGTCTAAGCATTCAATGCTGTAGGTAAACATCACCTTTAATTGTTTTTATGTCTTTCATATCTTACGAACCCATACTCGATAGTTTCATACAATTTTATACAGTACTAGAAGACCCGGCGAACTTCGTATCGCCCTATAGTAAAGAAATATCAATCACGTTTTTTTATTTACATTTTTGGAGTTTACCTGTAAGCCATAAATCTCCGTGTTTTGAAGTGCGACAGAATGATGGACATATTAGTTAGTTGTCAAATCTAATGTCAAAAAAAACGTTTGTATGGGAAATAGAAAAGGACTGTTTTTATGGTTTTCCCAGTAATTAATCAATTTTTTTTCACCTTTTATACCTTCCCTGAACATCCACGAACATTTTAAGACTAAGATAAGATAAATCCGTTCAGCTGTTCTCGAGTTTTAGCGAGACTAAGGAACAGCAATCCATTTTTATATATATAGAAGAAGATTATGTAGTTAAAAGCTATATATTATTAAATGTCCAATCATTGTCATATAGATTTTTGACCAAGTTCCAACACAATGCCTAGTAACCACACACGATACCTAAATGAAACTAATGACTATGTCTTCTTTTACAATACTGATTAGTAAATTAGTTTTGTGCGTTATCATTTAAACTTTTCTAATAACTATAAACATAATTACCCAAATATTTATTGTGATTACGATGTTTATTTTTTTGAATAACACATCCATTGTTAAAGATTTGTTATGTTAAATGACCTCTTTTAAATTTGTTTTGTTTTCAGGTCTTTAAAAATGTCCGAAGAATTTGATTGTATTAGCAGTTTCTTTGATGGAAATAATGTCACTCTAAGTTCGGATACATTGTCAGTTGCATCGAATTCAGATTATGAGAACACCAGTCAGAATTCTATGAACTCGGAGGCCGACTTGAGTTTATCACAATTAACAATAGAAGAGCCGAAACCGTTAAACATACCGCCTTTTTTCAATCTTACACCTCGCTTAATGCCTGAATCACCTCATTATATAATAGAGGAAGAATTCTCTCTCAACCCCTGGGCGATGTTAGTAGCAACTATATTTCTAACAAAGACGTCAGGAAAAACAGCTAGGCCGTATATAAAAAGTTTCTTCACGGACTATCCTACGCCATATCAAGTGTTAAATGAAACTCCATCGTCATTAGAGAGGTTCTTCGAAAACTTAGGATTAAAAAAACGCGGTAACATGATTTGGAAGCTAAGTTACCAGTTCGTGTCTGGTAAATGGCGGCGTGCTAGCGATCTATGTGGCATCGGGAAGTATGGGGAGGACGCATATAGGATATTTTGCTTAGGTCACACGGATGTCAACCCTGACGACAGATATTTAAAGCTCTATTTAGATTGGCTGCAACATCACACCGAGTTCATAAAAGACAGTGGCGTAACTGACAGCGAGAACCTATTACAAGATCCGGTTCTGAAATATTATAGAATTACATTAAAAAGTAATGTATAGAATATTGTTATAATTATACTGTAATTAATAAAAGGAATAATGTGAAAGTTATTTGTTTGCTGAATTAAATTGTAAGTGAACTAAATCAATATCTTAAATACTATAAAATGTAAATATTAATTGTTTTGAAATAATTGTAATGGAGTTTTTATTAGTCCTGTTATTTTATAATATAAGTATTTAAAATATAAAAAAAAAACTTTGAAAATCGAACTTATTTGAAAATTAAGGGTGGGTGGCTTTTGACGTACATATAATAATAATTTATAAATTATTTACATAACTCTTGTATTCTTTAAAATATAAAGTTATTAGTACTGTAAGTTATACTACCATTAAAGGACTTAAAACGTAATGTACATATAGGTATGTAAAATTAAATAATCAGTGATTGTCTAAAATTAGAATTCAGCAATTGCTTTTATTGTTGTTAAGTCATTTAATTTTAATAATAATTTTGACAGAATTGCTCAATCGTTTTTAAAATATAGATTATAAAAAAGAACTGTAATTATTGCATAATAATTTGAAAATTGAAAGTAACTTCAGATCGTAACAAAAGGGTTGCCATCGTTTATAGCAATTTGTGGAGGTGATATGTGTTGCTATACGATAATTTTATAACCATTTAATTATTAAAAAAATATCAATAGAAAATAATTAAGTAAGTAGATAAGCATCATAATAATTAGTATTCGATGTACAATAATTTTTTTTTACTCTATTAATGGCCATATGCAACGATGAATATTATATAATTAAAGAGACAAAACATTAAAAATGTAAATCAAAATAAATTAATTTATCAGTAAGAGATAAATTAATTTTTAAAAAATTTATTCTTTACTCTAAAAAATGTGCTGTTATTATTTGTAAATTTAATTATAATTTTTTTAATTGAAAATGTAACCATTCATTTTATTTTCATTAAAGAAAATATATCTTTTAAAGTGTTTTTTATTCCTTCATTTTATAATGAGTAATGAACCAACAGAAAAGCGAGCAAATATTTAAACGGAAAGCACTTAAACGAAATATACTTTACATTAAATAAGCAGAAATAATCGAGCCGCCTTTATATTAGAAATATCAATAGTGTTTTCTTGAATATTAATAATTTTCTATCAGGCACTATCGTGTTTTTTCTTTTCTTTATCCCACTTTATTAATGAAAAATTTATACTTACAATATATATTTTAAGTTAGAGATAAATTTTTCATATATATTACGTAATTTTACAAGATTAAAATATGTTTGTTAACAAATTTTATATTGAACTCATGAGCAAAAGGCTCTTTAAAAGGCGTCAACCATTTTAAGAAGGAAATTTAACTAAATAACCGTGAATAATTTCCCGTTAACTTATTATCTTTACATATTTTATTTATATAATGATATTTTTTAGTTTCAGAATGATTAATCATCATTTTTCCCCATTTTACTTCTAAATAAAATTTCCTACTCTTTTAGGCCTAAAAACATTGATACGAGTTATTATTCTCACCCTCTCGCTGTTTCATTATAGATTACAAAAATAAAATAAATTCGCTATCGCAATACATATTTCGTAAGATTGTATAACTATTTATTAACATACAGTGAAATAAAACCTTGTTCCTTAGTATAACTAGTTTATTTTAATTTACGAGCTTCAAGTTATATTCGCGATCTTTCAAAATTTCGCGCCATCAGCATAAATAAATAAACCAATAAGGCGCTCCTAGTAGTGCCAACATACAGTAAATTGCCGGAGTGATTGCATGCCGCATTGTTGGCAGCAGTGTCGACTGTTGCAAATGGTGGATTGCGTTACTTTTTCTCGTGCTCCGTCTAAAATATTTACGTAAAATAGTGTTAATTTTGTGGTGCAGTGTTTCTGACTCTCAGAAACATGTCGGAAACACTGCCGAATAACAAAAAACAAGTTCCAAGGCAACTGGTGAGTGTTTATTGTTACATTTTTACGTATTTAGTCCCGGGTGACGCCATGGTGGCTTTATCTGGGATCACGTAAACATGAAATGGTGCATCGCTGCATCGTGTATCGATTTATGTAACTTATAGAAAAGTGTTAGAAAATGTATTTTAGCTAATAATGTATAATAAAATTATAATCAGTGAGGGTCATCGGACTTGATTTTTTGTCACGCCGCGAGCAAGTTTTAAACGCGGCGGCCGTATGCATTCGCGCATGCGAGAAGGTGTCAAAATCTATAATAAATTCGCTTTCGAAGATCGCAGCATTGCGATGTAGCGACGTTGACAATGAACGCCGCGTAAATTGCGCACAGCAGCAACGTCGTTATCGGGGCATACCTTGTGGGCATCTGGTAGGGACGAAGGCGTTATCCTCCCGCGACTGCGGAGGGCAGGGTGCCTGGGGCGTGCGCCCGACCACACGTCGAGACCGCTCGTAATCTAGTTTATTACTTAAATATCTTCCAACAAACAATTATACGGCGATGGCAAGACGAACGTCCAAAACATTGTTATGTATCCAACACAATTAATTTACTATATGAATATCACCAGGCTTAAACTTGCCATCTACAAGTAAACA